CGACCTACCTTGTCTGATTGGAGGTCATAAGACCCCCATTTCAGAAGGGGTCCTGCCCCGTACTTGGGAGGAAAGAATGTTGCACAGAGAGGCCAGTAAGAATCTGAACAGAGAGGCCTTGCTGGGTTCCCCACTCAGTCTGTTAGCATTAGATCCTACTCTTTTTGTACAATCGTATTTTTCTTTTCTTTTTTATTTTGAGACAGAATTTTGCTCGTTGCCCAGGCTGGAGTGCAATGGTGCAATCTCGGCTCACTGCAACTTCTGCCTCCCAGGTTCAAGCAATTTCCTGCCTCAGCCTCCCAAGTAGCTGGGCTTACAGGCATGAGTCACCATGCCCGGCTAATTTTTGAATTTTTAGTAGGAACCGGGTTTCTCCATGTTTGTCAGGCTGGTCTTGAACTCGAAACTTCGGGTGATCTGCCTGCCTCAGCCTCCCAAAGTGCTGGGATTACAGGTGTGAGCCACCGCACCTGGCTGTCCAATATTTCTGCACGGTTGTCTGTGTTTTAGTCATGATTATCCAGTGAAGTAATGGACAGGGTACAGAGAGCTTCTGGATAGCTGAACATATGGAGGTTCTTGGAGGGTGGTGTACCTAGGGAGGGTATGAGAGCTCTGCACCTCTTTCCACATGCTTGTTCTGTGCATCTCTTCATCTGTATTCTTTGTACTATTCTTTATAATAAATCAGTACACCTGTTTTCCTGAGTTCTTGGCAGTGCTTTAGCAAATTAATGAAACCTAAGAAGAGGTCATGGGAACACTAACTTGAAGCTGGTTGTTCAGAAGTTCTGGATGAGGCTTGGCCTTACAGCTAGTGTCTGAAGTGGGGGCAGTCTTTTGGGACTAAGCCCTTTCTCAACCTGTGGGATCTGATGGTATCTCCAGGTAGATTGCATTAAATTGAATTGGATTAGAAGGCGCTCAGCTGGTCGTACCTGCTGCAGAATTGATTGCTTGCTTGTTGATAGGGAGGAATCCCCCCACATTTGGTCTCAGAAGTCTACTGTGTTGAATATTGTTGCCTAAGAGCAGAGAAAAAGCAATTTGATTTTTCTACACAAGGGGAAGAAAATGTTTCATGATTCAACTAATGATTTACCTTTCAATGCAAGGTTATCATGCTCAAGGATTAATGTAGGAAGGCTTTTTTGATGCAGAGCATGTGTGTGTGTTTGTAGAGGGCTAACATTTAAAAAGTGAAATGGAATAAGGAAGAAGAAATGGTGTTCTGAACTTGAAACCCATTTCATCTGTTAAATCGTCCCGGTGAAATACCAACATTAGTTAACTGTAAAAAAAAATTTAGTTAATTGTAAACAAAACCAACCAGCTTTTCATTATATTTTAAAAACTATTTGTAGGTCGGGCGCAGTGGCTTATGCCTGTAATCCCAGCATTTTGGGAGGCTGAGGTGGGTGGATCACCTGAGGCCAGGAGTTCAAGACCAGCAGCCTAACCAACATGGAGAAACCCCATCTCTACTAAAAATACAAAAAGTAGTGGGGCATGGTGGCACATGCCTGTAATCCCAGCTACTCAGGAGGCTGAGTCAGGAGAATCACTCGAACCTGGGAGGCAGAGGTTGCAACGAACTGAGATTGCGCCGAGCCAAGATTGTGTCATTGCACTCCAGCCTGGGCAACAAGAGCAAACTCCATCTTAAAAAAAAAAAAAAAAAGGCCGGGCGCGGTGGCTCAAGCCTGTAATCCCAGCACTTTGGGAGGCCGAGGCGGGTGGATCACGAGGTCACGAGATCGAGACCATTCTGGTCAACATGGTGAAACCCCGTCTCTACTAAAAATACAAAACATTAGCTGGGCATGGTGGTGCGTGCCTGTAATCCCAGCTACTCAGGAGGCTGAGGCAGGAGAATTGCCTGAACCCAGGAGGCGGAGGTTGCGGTGAGCCGAGATTGCGCCATTGCACTCCAGCCTGGGTAACAAGAGCGAAACTCCGTCTCCAAAAAAAAAAAAAAAAAAAGCTTTTCTATTTTCTTTTCTGTAATTAATGTTTTGTCCATTTTAAATTGCGTTGTTATTCCTTTTATTGATTTTTAAAAATGAAGTGTTTATATGTGAGTGAAATTAACTTTCCACCATGAGTTGGGGCATTTTTTTGCCAGTGTTTACTTATCTTTTGATTTTGCTTGTGGTCATTTTATAATGGCATGTATTTTTTGTTGTTTTTTTGAGATGGAGTCTTGTTTTGTCACCCAGGCTGGAATGCAGTGGCGTGATCTCAACTCACTGCAACCTCTGCCTCCTGGTTTCAAGCGATTCTCCTGCCTCAGCCTTCTGAGTAGCTGGGATTACAGGCACGTGCCACCACACCCAGCTAATTTTTCTATTTTTAGTAGAGACAGGGTTTCACCATGTTGGTCAGGCTGGTCTTGAACTCCTGACCTCATGATCCACCCGCCTTGGCCTCCCAAAGTGCTGGGATTACAGGCGTGAGCCATTGCACCTGGCCTCGTTGTAGGTGTTTTTATGTACATCTCAGAAGATCTTTGTGTCATCATATATATATGTAGTTTGCCTGTTCATTTTCTTTCTCTCTTTCTCTCTTTCTTTTTCTCTCTTTCTTTCTCTCTCTCCTCTTCTTTCCTCTCTCTCTCATCTTTCTTTTGTTTTCTTTCTTTTTGTTTTTGAGATGCAGTGTAGCTCTGTTGCCCGGGCAGGAGTGCAGTGGCACGATCTCAGCTTACCGTAACTTCTGCCTCCTGGGTTCAAGCGATTCTCCTGCCTCAGCCTCCCAAGTAGCTGGGATTACAGGCACCCGCCACCAAGCCCAGCTAATTTTTGTATTTTTAGTAGAGACAGGTTTTCAATGTGTTGGCCAGGCTGGTCTCAAACTCCTGATTCACCCCTCTCAGCCTCCCAAAGTGGTAGGATTACAGGTGTGAGCCACCATGCCTGGCTGCCTGCTCATTTTCTTAACAGTGTATTTTGATAAATCACAAGTACTTTAATATAGATATATGGTAAATCACAAGTATTTAAATATTTATGTAATCTGACATACCAGTTTTTTTTCTTTTATGGTTTATGCCTTTTTTCCCTTCTTTATACATTTGCCTGCCTCAACCCAACTTTTTTGGGACTCACTGCGATGTGAAGAGTAGACTGTAAAACAGCAATATTACAAAAAAGAGCATATTGTAATGGTTTAGGAGAAAGATAATGATGTATTGGACTGGGGTTGTAGTGGTGGAGGCATTGAAAAGTAGCATGGGGTTAAAGGTTATAGCCATTGAATTTGCTTATTGGATGTTTGTTATGAGACAGGCAGACATGGAGGGAGGGGGTCAGAATGATTTCATATTTTTGGGTTAAGCAATTGGATAAATGGTGGTGGCCCTTTGTAGAATGTCTGAAACTACAATTGACCAAGGTTGCTTCAAACTCTAATGTATGTTTGCTAAGTCATATGTTGTTCAATTTAAAGTAATTGGGCCAGGTGTAATGGCCCAGTTACTCCCAGCAGAATCAATTTTAGAATACTTTCTGAACTCCAGGAAGAAAGTACCCTGCCTTTTTCCCCTCTATCACCTAGCCCTAGGCAAACATGAATCTACTTTCAGCCTCCATAGATTGGCCTGTTATGGACAAATATGTGGCTGATTTCTTAGTATAATGTTTTCAAGGATATTCATGTTGTAGCATGTATCAGCTATTCAGCTATTTCATTTCATTTTTAAAAATCTTATTACCCCTCCACCCCCTCATTTCTTTTTATTGTCAACATTCAGTTGTATGGATATATACCACATTTTATCCATTCCATCAGTCGATGAACATTTGGGTTGTTTTCATTTTGGGGCTATTATAGATAATGCTACTATGTACAATATAACATTTGCTATTATAGATTATGCTACGAACATTTGTATAAAAACATATGGACATATGTTTTCATTTCTCTTTGATATATACTTAGGAGTGGGATTGCTGTATCACATGATAACTCTGTATTCAACCTTTTGAGGAATTGCCAAACTGTTTGGCAAAAGTAACTGCACCATTTTACATTCCCACTAGCAATATATGCTTCAGTTTCTTTACATCCTGTAGTGGCACAACCTCGGCTCACTGCAGCCTCTGCCTCCTGGCTTCAAGTGATTCTAAATTCTCATGCCTCAGCCTCCCGAGTAGCTGCGACTACAGGCATGTGCCACCATGCCTGGCCAACTTTTATATTTTTAGTAAAGACGGGGTTTCGCCGTGTTGGCCAGGCTGTTCTCGAAAGCCTGACCTCAGGTGATCCACGCACCTCGGCCTCCCAAAGTGCTGGGATTATAGGCGTGAGCCACCATGCCTGGCCTAACTGACCAGTTTTTCATTTGGAATCGGGATAGGACATAGTCAGAAATTGGTCTCTTTGGTTATTTCCCTAACATGTCATCCAAGCATCCTGAGGTATCAGTCAAATAAGCAGCAGTCTCTTCTCATTCCTGACAGAGAGTAAGTCAAACCTTAATTTAATTTGCACACCTGTTTTCATGTAGCAACAAATAATTTGACCAGAAGTGGGTATGATTTATATCTTAGTTTGAATTGCTACTTATCTTTGGGGAAACACAACTTTCCTTGATGTATCTTTAACACTGAAATATTGGCAAATTCCCAAGTCTTGAATATTCATGAATAAGACTGCAACATAGCAATATCATAGTAACACAGGATGGGAATGAAGCATGTCTGGAAATCTGGTAGAAAAACATCACATTTATAAAGCTTTGTTTCCTGTACATCACTGACATTTTATGAATTTGTAAAGAATGTATAATTATGTTTAAGGAGCATATTTAACTTAGGTAATGTAGCCTAGAATGGGCTAATTTGAAATGAAACTCTTGCTAATAATAACTTAATTCACCAAATTAAGAATATTTAGTTTTTGTAGAGATTTTGCTCTTAAAAATGTTAATTGCTGCATTCTTGATTTCGTCGTCAGTCCAGTCAGAATTGTGAATTAATTTTTTTTTCTCATTTCAGAAATACATGCTACAGGATTTAACTATCAGAATGAAGATGAAAAAGTCACCTTGTCTTTCCCTAGTACTCTGCAAACAGGTAAGAGACATGGCTTTTGTAAAATCCTGTGATGAATATAGTGACATCTGACTTCTTCCGAAGAACTTTATTGTATGCCATTTTTTCCCCCTCATTGTTATTAGCAGATTAAGTATTAAGAGCTCTTTTTTTTTTTTTTTTAAGATGGAATCTCACTCTGTTGCCCAGGCTGGAATGTAGTGCCGGGAATCTCAGCTCACTGCAACCTCCACCTTCTGGGTTCAAGCAGTTCTCCTGCCTCAGCCTGCCGAGTAGCTGGGTTTACAGGCATCTGCCACCATACCTGGCTAATTTTTTTTGTATTTTTTGTAGAGACGAGATTTCACCATGTTGGCCAGGCTGGTCTTGAACTCCTGACCTCAAGTGATCTGCCTGCCTTGGCCTCCCAAAGTGTTGGAATTACAGGCGTGAGCCACCTCGCCTGGCCATATGAAGAGCTTTTGAAAGAGGTTCATGGCAACTTTTGGGCCACTAGCATTTCCTTCTATGGAAGTTGGGCTACGAAAACCAAGGTTTCCACCTTCTGTCCCTCTGTATTCTCTTTAAATGAATAAGCAAAGACAAACAGGACAAGGCCTGGCTTGGTGGCTCACGCCTGTAATCTCAGGACTATGGGAAGCCGAGGCGGGCTGATCACCTGAGGTCGGGAGTTTGAGACCAGACTGACCATCATGGAGAAACCCCATCTCTGCTAAAAATACAAAATTAGCCAGGTGTGGTGGTGCATCCCTGTAATCCTGGCTACTTGGAAGACTGAGGCAGGAGAATCACTTGAACCCGGCAGGCAGAGGTTGCGGC